GTCCATACACCATCTACACACATGTGAAAATTATACAAATACAAACTTCATCTACTTACGTAGATACATGAGAAACGTATACACACCCATACACCATCTACACACATGTGAAAATTATCCAAATCCAAACTTCATCTACACACGTAGATACATGAGAAATTCATAAACACTCATACACCATCTACACACATATGAAAATTATACAAATCCAAACTTCATCTACACATGTAGATACATGAGAAACTTATACACACCCATACACCATCTACACACATGTGAAAATTATACAAATCCTAACTTTATCTACAAACATAGATGCATGAGAAAATTATACACACCCATACACCATCTACACACATGTGAAAATTATACAAATCCAAACTTCATCTACACACATAGATACATGAGAAACTTATACACACCCATACACCATCTACACACATGTGAAAATTATACAAATCCAAACTTCATCAACAAACGTAGATACATGAGAAACCTATACACACCCATACACCATCTACAAACTTGTGACAATTATACAAATCTAAACTTCATCTACAAACGTAGATACATGAGAAACGTATACACACCCATACACCATCTACACACATGTGAAAATTATACAAATACAAACTTCATCAACAAACGTAGATACATGAGAAACGTATACACATCCATACACCATCTACACACATGTGAAAATTATACAAATCCAAACTTCATCTATACACGTAGATACATGAAAACGTATACACACCCATACACCATCTACACACATGTGAAAATTATACAAATCCAAACTTCATTTTCAAACGTAGATAAATGAGAAACTTAAACACACTCATACACCATCTACACACATGTGAAAATTATACAAATCCAAACTTCATCTACACACGTAGATACATGAGAAACTTATACACACCCATACACCATCCACACACATGTGAAAATTATACAAATACAAACTTCATCAACAAACGTAGATACATGAGAAACGTATACACAAGTCCATACACCATCTACACAAATGTGAAAATTATACAAATACAAACTTCATCTACTTACGTAGATACATGAGAAACGTATACACAAGTCCATACACCATCCACACACATGTGAACATTATACAAATCCAAACTTTATCTACAAAGGTAGATACATGAGAAACTCATACACACCCATACACCATCTACACACATGTGAAAATTATACAAATCCAAACTTCATCAACAAACGTGGATACATGAGAAACGTATACACAA